TTTCATATCAAACTTACTAGTAAGCATGCACTTAGTAGCATTTATGTTAGCAATGTCGTTACTCATTATCAACATATCATCCACATATAAACAAACAATGACTATTTGATTTGGAGTATTCTTAATGTAAACACATTTGTCAAACCCATTGATTTTGAAACCAGTTGACAATATTGTTTGGTCAAATTTCGCATGCCATTTTTTTGGGTGCTTATTTTAATCGGTAAAGTGACTTAACAAGTCGGCATGCCTTCTTTTCTTTTCCGAAAACTACAAACCCTTCAGGTTGTTCCATATAAATTTCTTCCTCCAAATCTCCATTTAAGAAGGTTGTCTTCTCATCCATCTGATGGATTTGAAGGCCATACACGACGGCTAACACTATTAATACCCAGATAGATGTAATCCTTGTTATCGACGAGTATGTGTCAAAGCAATCAAGACCTTCTCGTTATCTAAACCATTTTTCAACTACTCTTGCCTTATATTTGTCAATAGTACCATCAACTTTCATTTTCCTTTTGAAAGTCTACTTAGAACCCAAAGGTTTATTTTCCGGAGGAAGATCAACCAATTTCCAAGTATGATTACTTAATATGGATTCTATCTCGCTATTGACTACCTCTTTTCAATATTGTGCTTCCGAGGAAGACATTGCTTCTTTGAACGTTTGAGGTTTATTTTCCAACAAGAATGCCAGGAAATCTGGTCCAAAGAAAGTAGTTGTCCTTTAACGTTTATTACGTCTTAATTTTCCTCATTAAAAGTATTTTCCTTTGCTTCTTGCCGAGGTCGCTTAGATTTTTCACTAAACGACTCACATTCTATTTTACGCAGATAAATATTCTCAAAGAATTTAGCATTATTTGATTCAATTACCGTATTAATATTCATGTCGGGATTTTCTGATTTATGAACCAGAAAATGATACGCCTTACTATTTGTTGCATATCCTATGAAAACACAATCAATGGGTTTGGTCCAATCTTTACCTTTTGGGTTTATGGACTTGCACTTTAGCCAAATGCCTTCACACTTTAAAATATTTTAAGTTGGGTTTCCTTCCTTTCTATTTTTCATATGGAATGGATTGCGTTTTTCTATGGGGAACCGATTGAGTATTCGGTTAACTGTAAGAACAGCTTTCCCCCACAAGTTCTGAGGTAAACCAGAACTTATTAACAAGGCATTCATCATCTTCTTTAGTGTTCTATTCTTTCTTTCCGCAATTCCATTAGATTGCTGTGAGTAAGGGGCAGTTGTTTGGTGAATAATGCCATATTCCAAACATATTTCTTCAAAAGGAGATTCATATTCGCAGCCCTTATCACTTCTTATCATTTTGATTTTTTTGTTTAGTTGTGTTTCAACTTCATTTTTGTATTGCTTGAATGCATCAATTGCTTCATCTTTACTATTAAGTAAGTAAATATAGCAATATATCGTATTGACGTCAATAAAAATTATAAAATACTTTTACCCACCGCGAGATGGTATTGACTTCATGTTGCAAATATCTGTGTGAATTAAGTCTAAAGGATTTGAATTCCTTTCAACTGACTTATAAGGATGCTTAACATACTTTGATTCCACACATATTTGACATTTCGAGCTATTATATTCAAACTTAGGCAATACTTCTAAATTAATCTTTTTTCATAAAGTTTTGAAGTTGAAGTGGCCTAAACGTTCATGCCATAAATTATTTGGCTCAAGCAAGTAAGAAGAAACTGAAATTTTATTCATATCAATGGCAATTGCATTGAGATTGAAAGGCCCTCAGTACTAACTACAACCTTGTCGGAAACAAAAACACGCTTAAAGCCATTCTTGACTAGAAGTAATGTCGAGACTAAATTCTTCCGCATTTCAGGAACATGAGGGACATCATTTAGAGTCACAATCTTGCCAGAAGTTATCTTCAAAGATATCTTGCCTGTTCCTTCAATTTTTGCAGTAGCGGACTTTGCTATAAAAACTGTCTCATCAGGTCCAGCGGGAGCATACGAAGTAAACAACTCCTTGTTAGCACAAACATGACGAGTTGCCTCCGAATCAATCCACCATTCTCTAGGATTTCCGACTAGATTGCATTCCGAAAGCATGTCACATAAATCGTCTACGTCTATTTCATCATTCTTCTCAATCATATTTGCTTGGCTTTTATTCTTGTCTTTCTTTGGTGCACGACATTCAACAGCCTTGTGTCCAACCTTTTCATAGTTGTGGCAATTACCTTTGAACTTCTTTTTTCTTGGGTAATTCTTTGGTCCAGACGGCTTCTTTCTCTTTTGCTTGTTGAAGCTTCCTCAATAATATTTTCACCCATTATTGTTGAATTTCTACGAGACTACTTTTCTGCAACCTTGTTGTCCTCTCCAATCCTTAGGAAAACAATAAGGTCTTCCAACATCATCTCCTTGCACTTATGTTTCAAGTAGGTTTTAAAGTCCTTCCATATTGGAGGCAACTTTTCAATAAATGCCGCAATTTGAAACGCTTCATTTATGACCATACCGACAATCATAAATTTAGAGATAATAAAATAATCAATATCTTTAATAAAAATATTGATTCAATTTATACCTTCGGCAATGAGGTCATGAACGATGACTTGTAGTTCTTGAACTTGAGTTATGACAGACTTATGTCAACCATTTTAAAGTCTAAGGACTTTGCGGCAACAAACTTCTTAAGTCCAATATCTTCCATCTTGTACTTCTTTTCAAGAGCGTTCCACAACTCTTTCGAAATTTTCATGACACTGTAAATGTTGTTCAAGCCATCTTCCAAACAACTCAATATATAATTTTTGCACAAGAAGTCACAATGCTTCCATGCCTCCGTGACCACAAATCGCCATTAGTCGGAGTCTCTTCTCCCAAGACTCCACGTCCTCACTAATAAAGCGCTGTAGATTGAGTGTGGTCAGGAAGAAGAATATTTTCTACTGTTAGCATTTGAAGTCCATGCCAGAAATTTTTCCGGGCTTTTCTGTCGTGCCATCGACGGTGCATGCATTGTGCGACTTGAAGGCGTCGTAGCCATTGCATCAGTAGTCGTTCTAGCAGAACCATTTTGTTGTTCTGTACTTGTTGTTATTTTTCTGTAATAGAAATTGACACAAACAGAATTAGTATCTCGGTGAAGTATTTATATCTTTAAACCGAATAAAAACAACTGAGTAGAAAATCACAAGAATTTTAATCTCGGATTGAGTAGAAAGTCACAAAGACTTTAATCCCAAATTGGAGTAGAAAATTCGAAGATTTTAATCTCCAAAACGGGAGTAGAAAATCACTACGATTTCAATCTCCCGTACCAGAAAGTAATATGAATACAGAAATAAATATTTAAATTCCTTAAGCTTGTTAGTAATCTGTATTCAAAACCAGAACATCAGATCAAGAAAACAAAACAGAAAATTTTTGAGCCCACAAGTTCTTGTGTGTCCTTAAGGAATTTAATCCCCTCACAGTTGCCTAAGGTTTTGGATTAGTTCCTCCCAGGATAGAACAAAATAACTATTCTGTGATAGCGGCACTTCAAATCACATAACTTCGGCGAACTCAAATGGCGGAGCAAATCACACAAAATGCTTGCGTTTTTGCTTTGAAAACAATACAGAATGCAGAAGATAGAGCAATGGATTTTCAGATTTCGGTGGTGGAAAATGAGGTTAAGCCTCTCTATCTATAACCAACGAAGCTGACTCCCAACAGTGCAAAGGTGCCTGTTCGTTGATAAGGTGTCTATTCCGCATAAATTATTTAAATTTCTATTAAATGGAATGTTCGGTCGCGAACTCAACCGTTGGAAAATAATTTTGCGAATGACCAAATTCATACTTCTCCGCAAAAAATATTAAATGATGGAAAAGACAAATAAATTTGGTCCAAAAAATTATCAATCAATCCGAAGTCGAGCCGAGCGACGATGGCGATGGCACGAGGCTTGCTCTCTTCTCAACTCTTTAAGAGCTAGAAGAAGTGCTTCCATATATAAGCACACGAATTTTCCTCTTCTTATCCAACGAGGGACAAAGTTCTTGTAAAATGAACTAATTCAAAATTTCATTTCCTTCCATTTTTTTTTTCCCACCATTTTTCATTCACACATCTTTTGTTTTTTATTAGCAAAACCCAACAGATCCCAACAGCTTTTGCTCAAATAGTGTATTTGAAAATGTACAAATATCAAATTTAGAACCGAGTTATTAGCACTTGTTTTTGTATCCTAGCAGCTTTTGCTCAAATAGTGTATTTGAAAATGTACAAATATCAAATTTAGAACCGAGTTATTAGCACTTGTTTTTGTATCCTAGCAGCTTTTGCTCAAATAGTGTATTTGAAAATGTACAAATATCAAATTTAGAACCGAGTTATTAGCACTTGTTTTTGTATCCTAGCAGCTTTTGCTCAAATAGTGTATTTGAAAATGTACAAATATCAAATTTAGAACCGAGTTATTAGCACTTGTTTTTGTATCCTAGCAGCTTTTGCTCAAATAGTGTATTTGAAAATGTACAAATATCAAATTTAGAACCGAGTTATTAGCACTTGTTTTTGTCGTTTTAAAATCTCTAAAGTTAAAATTGTGGCTCCGCCTCGACATACACTACTACTAAATTTCACGTTTGATTTTGTTTCTTTTTTTGGAACAAATAGTACTATTCGTGTATATAAGTTATCTAAAATCCTATTTATTTTGTTCTATTTGAAAAAAGAAATTATTAAGAATAGTTATACTAGAAGACTTTTTCCAAAAATTGCGGGAAGATATTTAATTCAACCCCAAAAGAAACGGAAGTCTTCAATGGCCAATGACTAACACATAATTCAAAAAGAAACATCCATTCCAAAAAAAAAAAAAAATCTTCTTCAGGTTGGTCAAAAAACGATTGAAAAAGAAATGCAAAATCCTTTAAAAAATTAAATTAAATTATTATTTCCAAAAAATTCCTTTTTTTTTTGGTCACTTCTATTACCAACCTCATAACTTTCAACTTTGATCTTCACGTTTTCCAAAGTTTGATCAGTTTATGAATTAATTGCCTAAAAATACATCATCATTTTACAACATGATGGGGTTGGTTTTTTTTCTAGCCTTATCTTGATTTTTCCAACTTTTGGATACGTTACATTTTGATGATAAATTTATTTATTTTGTATTTCAACGTTAATTTCAGCAAGTCAATTTGGCTGAAGGTGGTATCTTGATCTGATCAAAAAAGGATTTTTGCTGAATTTTTATTGGGTTTTTATCCTAAAAAATCTAATAGAAATTCAGCATTTCTCTTGTTGAAAACAAAGGTGGAAACCCCATTTTGTAAAAGCTCAAAAATTGCAATATTGTTAGGTATGTGTTCATTTCATGATCTATATATATAGATTGATATCATGGAGCTTCATATGATGCAAGTTTCTTCCATTTTTCTTTGCATGGTATTATTTGGTCTATGTATCGTAACTGATAATATTCGAGATTATGCAAAGATTATACAAAGACATTCTTTTTTGGCTCTCTTTAGCCCTATTTTATATGCTTTAATGTTCAATTAGATTGATAATTTGATATCATGTTTGATAAATAGATGCTACCTCCGGTCCCAAATTTTAATGGCTTTGTGGAATTTATATTTTGATAAAAATATTTGACATTTTAGAAATCTATCGTTACTGTTCCAATTAGTGGAGCATTAATTAAGTAAAACGTTTAAGGAGAGATATAATCTTGTTGTTGTTACTACTTGTTGCCACTGCTTCTTTTCATCTTTCCTTAGCTGAGGATCAATCAGAAACAACCTCTCTGCCCTCTTAGGATAGGGTAAGGTTGCATACATCTCACCCTCCCCAGACCTCGCTCGTGGGAATTCACTAGATTTGTTGTTGTTGTTGTTGTTGTTGTTGTTGTTGTTGTTGTTGTTGTTGTGTTGTTGTTTAAGGAGAGATATAACGTAATTTAGATAAATATTCTTATGATTAAGGCTATTAAATGTTTTCTGTTAAGTGTATGCAAGAACTTTAAAAGACAAATAATATTGATCGGACTAAGTAACAATTATGGGGAGAAACACAATATTTTTTCTCCTTGTGATCTATAGGTCATGCGTTCGAACTGTTGAAGCAGCCACTAATACTTGCATTAGAGTAGACTATCCACATTATACCCCTTGAGATGCGACCCTTGCCCAGATCCTGCGCGAATACGGGATGCTTTGTGCACCGGGTTGCCCTTTCTATCTTGGATGTTCAATTCTTTCATGCTGTGCAACTTAAGATTTCTATTGCATATTTTCATATTCTTTCTTTTAAAATTTGTGTTGTTTTTTCTATTGTAGGTCCTTATTTTGTTGAAGTTTTTGTAACTCATAAAGATAAATGGATCAATTCAGGCAGATTGGTGAGGTAGTTGGGAGTTTAAAGGCTCTAATGGTGTTGAAACATGATATTCAAATCAATCAAAAGCAATGTTGTTTCCTATTAGATATGTATATTCAAGCTTTTGATACAATTTCTGAGGAAATCAAACATAATTTAAGGTTAAATGAGAGGAATACAAAATGGAAAGCTCTTGAGCAACCAATGAAAGAGCTTCATAGGATTTTTAAGGAAGGCGAATCGTATATAAAATATTGTTTGGATGTGAAAGATTGGTGGGGAAAAGCGATAAGTCTTCATATGAACAAAGATTGTGTTGAGTTTCATATTCATAACTTGCTTTGTTGTTTTCCTGTTGTCATTGAGGCGATTGAGACGGCTGCAGAAATCTCAGGATTCGACGAGGAGGAAATGCAGAAGAGGAGATCTGCAGTTATGAAGAAATATGATAGGGAATTGATCGATCCGAGGTTTTTTCAGTGGATGTTTGGGAAACAGTATTTAGTTACGCGAGAAATATGTAGCCGGTTGGAGAGTTCTTGGAAAGAAGATAGATGGTTGCTTGTTGAAAACATAAGGCAAAAGAAAAATGCAGTTGCACCAGATACTTTGTTGAAGCACGAGCAAAGGATCGCAGAATTCTTGCTAAGGAAATTAGATGGTGTTGAACAAAGTAACAAGATATTGTTACCTAGTTCAATCTTAGTTGGATCGAACGATTATCATGTGAAGAGACGTTTAGGGTCGTGGGGCGGACATGTTAAGGAGATACAATGGTTAGGCGAAAATTTTGCTCTGAGGAACTTTTTTGGAGATGTTGAACCGTTGCATGCTGAGATTTCTTTAGTGTTTTCGCTTTCACATCCAAACATATTGCAATATCATTGTGGTTTTTATGATGAAGAAAGGAAAGAAGGGTACCTTGTTATGGAGCTAATGAATGATACTCTAGCGACGTATATAAAGGAGCATTCTGGTCAGAGGAAAAGACCGCCTTTTTCTACGTCTGCTGCAGTTGATATTATGCTTCAGATTGCACGAGGGATGGAGTATTTGCACGCGAGAAAGATCTATCACGGAGAATTAAACCCGTCTCATGTCCTTCTTAAAGCGAGGAATTCCTCAGCAGAGAGCTATTTTCATGCGAAACTCAAAGGCTTTGGTTTAACTTCGATTAAAATTACTTACAAAACTGTCAACCACAACGCGGCTGACTCTATCATATGGTATGCCCCGGAAGTTCTAGCTGAACATGAAAAGCCGGGAACCAAATGCACATACAAGTATACGGAGAAAGCTGATGTCTATAGCTTCGGAATGATTTGCTTTCAAATTTTAACGGGCAAAGTTCCATTCGATGAAGGACATTTGCAAGGCGAGAAAGTGGTCCGAAATATCAGAGCAGGGGAAAGGCCACTCTTTCCGTATCCTTCACCTAAATACCTTGTGAACTTAACCAGACGATGCTGGCATACGAACCCAAATCTTCGCCCACGTTTCTCTTCTCTGTGCAGGATCTTGCATTATATCAAGAAAGTTCTTGTCATAAATCCGGAACATGGCCAGCCTGAAACTGCTCCTCCACTTGTAGACTATTGTGATATCGAGGGTGGCTACTCGAAGAAGTTTCCTGAATACGAAAGCATGTGTTTGACACCTGTATCACAGATTCCTTTCCAGATGTTTGCTTACCGGCTGATTGAAAAAGAGAAAATTTCTGGAAAAAACTGGGATTCATCAAATGATGGATTTTCAGTCCATAGGCGAGCATCGATGCTGAGTGATGACGGGCATTTGGCTGCGATGGATGATCTCTTTCTTGCACCGAGCGATGGAAGGTCAGTTTGCTCAGAGATAATTGACAGGAAAGATTCAAGATTGTTTGATCAGAGATCAGCTATCTCTGAAATACCACATAGAAAGCTTTTCTTATTCGATCAAGCATCAGTTGGCTCTGAGAGTCCGGACAGGAGATTCTCGTCTGTAGCAGCAGACGAAAAGTTTTTCTTTGCTGATAGTCCAGATAGGAAAGTACTATCAACACCAGTAGTTGATAGGTCACCACGTATCGACACACTGGAGAAAAAGATCATCTCATCAATGAGCAAGAACCAAAGACTGAGATTTTCGGACAATCAGGAGAAGGTAATGTCTCCAAAAGCAGGCGACGAAAAACCTACAGCAAATGTTGCAGCTGAACAAAATTTAGTATCTCCTCGGACTTCAGAGAAGATAATATCAGCTGAGCAAAATTTAGTATCTCCTCGGACTTCAGATAAGAAAATTTCATCTGATGATCAGAAACTAACTAGTCCT